CTCAGGAGCCAGGCAGAAGGAGAAATCCCACACAAGACAGGCTCTAGAGCAATGTGGGTATCCTAACTGGGCCTTCCTGAAAGCAGAGAAGGAACCCAAACAGGACTCCAGTCAGCCAACAGGTGAAAAGGAGGAACCCAGACCCAGACCATTGGTCATTCCATATGTTGAGGGAGTATCAGAGAAACCGAGACGTTTATTTTCTAAACATAACGTCCCAGTGGCTTTTAAACCCCAAAATACATTACGGCAAAGACTGGTTCATCCCAAAGATTCAGTCCCCCGGCACTAACAGAGTAATGTTGTGTATGCTGTTCAGTGTCAGGAGGGCTGTGATCAGTCTTACATCGGGGAAACTAAACAGCCACTGGCCAAAAGGATGGCCCAGCACAGAGGACCAAAATCATCAGGCCAGGACTCTGCGGTCTACACTCATCTCCAGGCCAGCGGTCACTCTTTCAGTGATGAAGATGTGCACATCCTGGATAGAGAGGAACGATGGTTTGAGAGAGGAGTAAAGGAGGCCATCTTTGTGAAAAGAAATCGTCCATCGTTAAACAGGGGTGGAGGCCTACGTGTTCAATTGTCCCCCCTCTTACAATGCTGTGATTGCTAGTATCACTCAGCCCTCTGTGAATAGTAAACAGCCATCAGTGTGCTAATGATCCATTGTTAGGCTGATGGTCCTTCTTGAGCATGTGATCAGCTGGTTTTGGTTGTCAGCAGCAAAACTGGTTGATCCACTCTGAGAAGGTGGTATTTAAGAGACTGAGCTGAATACAGCACCTCAGACTGAGGAAGTCTCTCGGATGAGAGACGAAACGTTTCTACATTTTTTTGTTGTTTTGCTTTGTTTAGTTTTTTTGAATGTCCAGAGGTCCAGATTTAACTTTTTTAGGTTTTTGTAACATGCATTTTTTAAGTTTATTTAGATTTTTCCCATAAATTTATATACATCTTTAGCTCATCCTTGCTTAATTTTTAGCTTCTAGCTACCATTCTGCTAGTTTAGCGTTCAGTGTTCAGCATTCACTGTATTCCATAGAAAGACAGATATTTTATTTACACCCTGTTTACATTAAAGGTATTAGTTTTAAAGATGGAGTTAAAAAAGTTAAAGAAATTGCAGTAAAACTGAAAAGTGTGCGTGTGTGTGTGTAGGGGGGGGGGTGCTGACCAATGAAATGCAGAGCTTGTGGGATCCAAGGCAGTAGGTTGTCCCACAGGGAGTCATCAATGGGTATCCGGAGGTATCTGGAGCGAGGCAAGAAAGAAGGCTGGGGGCTGCAGCGACTGACGTTCAGGACATAGGAAATACCCAGAGAGGCCAGCTGTTCCTACACACACACAAGTTATGTTGTTCTTTAAGGTTTTGTATGTGCATCAAAATGCAGCATCACACAGACAAATACAATAATGATAATAATAACAATAATAATAATAATAATAATAATAATAATATAAACATATCACCTGCTACCTTACAGCTGGAGTTTTAGACTAAGAGAGTTGTAGCTGTAAGATTAAACCTTGAAAATAATTTTATGTACAACCTGACTTAAACTGTGGAGATCTATCAACACTCATACTACCAACACACCAAACTTAAAAAAATAAACTTATAAAATTGTTATAGGCATGTTTGTGTTCGTTATGGTTGATTATTCGCTTTCTCTATTCAAGACTAATCTGAAAACACATCTCTTTAGACTCGCTTATCCTTAGCCTTGCTGTATGTATTTTATATTCTTTATGTATTTTATATTTCAATTTATTCCTGTTGCTCTTTGCACTGTGCTTGTTGTATTGTATTGTATTGTAAATTTATTAATTTCATATAAAAAAAACAATGACAATTTTTAGAAAGAAAAAAAATTAAACAAAAAAACATAAAATGAAAGGAAGCAGAAGAAGAAAACATTTCTTATTATATCTGCTCCCTATTAAACAATCAAATTCAAACAATCAATTCAAGCATTAATTTGCTTATTGTAATACAAAAGAATAGTCTCATCAAAATACCTTTATAATTTGTTAAATTAGAAACAACTAAATATAATTCTTTAACAAAATAGTTTTAACCATTTTCCTAAATGGTAGTATCGACTTCGCTTTTTTTACATTGTCCTCCAAACCATTCCAAAGATCAATTCCTCTTATTGTAGTAGATCTACCCTTTAAACTTGTTCTGTACTTAGGTTTAACAAACATTTCTATTCCCTTTAAATTATAACTACTGGTCCTTTTCACAAAATAGTTCTGAATGTTTGATGGTAGTGAGTAATTCTGAGCTCTAAACATAAGTAAAAGATTATTATAATCAACCAAATCATAAAACTTAAGTAATTTCAATTGACAAAATAGAGTACCAGAAGGATGACAATAATTTTTCCTCATTATAATTCTTACAGCTTTTTTTTGCAAAATAAAAATAGGCTAAGTTGTTGTCTTACATGCTGTACCCCAAACATTTACACAATAAATTAAATGCGGAACTATAATTGTAAGTCCCTTACACGATACAATACTGCAATTGACTTAGATATTTTAATTTTAACAAAATTTACATGCTGTTTCCATGACAGTTTGTCATCGATAATTACACCCAGAAACTTGATCTCATTCACTCTACATATCTTTATACCATCAATTTCAAAAGAAAAATCCAAAGTTTTTTTTTTTACTAAATATCATAAAATTGGTTTTATCAATATTCAATGACAACTTATTTAATTTAAACCAAATTTGTATTTTTTCAAACTCTGTCTTTATCAATACAAACATCCGTTCCAAGTCTTCACCCAAACAAAAAAAAGTGGTATCATCAGCAAATAAAATACATTTGAGGATATCAGACACCTCAACTAAATCATTAACATATAAAATAAATAACTTGGGTCCAATTACAGAACCTTGTGGTACTCCACATGAAGTTCTGCTTAAATTAGAACGTACATCATCCATCTGTACAAACTGTTTTCTATCACTCAGATAACTACTTATCCACTGCAATGCAGGACCTCTGATACCATATTGATTCAATTTTGCAATTAAAATGGTGTGATCAATAGTATCAAATGCCTTCTTTAGATCCACAAATATACTTATACAATGTTTTTTTTTTATCGACTGCTGTTGTAATTTGTTCCATCAATTCCATCAGAGCCAAGGATGTAGAACTAGTTGATCTAAAACCATATTGACTGTTACTCAAAATATTTTGTTTGTCAAGAAATTTATCTAATCTAGTCACAAACAATCTTTCGAGAATTTTTGAAAGTTGTGGCAGAAGAGATATAGGTCTATAATTACTAAATACAGATTTGTCACCATTTTTAAAAAGAGGAACTACTTTAGCTATTTTCATTCTGTCAGGGAAAATGCCTTTTGAAAATGACAAATTACAAATATATGTAAATGGCACAATGACATGACTTGTTATTTCCTTTACAACCACCATATCCATATCTTCACAGTCCTTTGATCTTTTATCAGCAATATTATTAACTATCTTCATAATTTCCTCCGTGTTTGTTCCACCCAGAAACATACTGCTTACACAACCCATTTTTACATTACCAACAATATTATCTACTTTAGGAATCATTGCGGCAAGACTAGACCCAACATTTACGAAATAATTATTAAATCCATTAACGATTTCCCTATCATCATGGATTTCCACATTATTTTCCACAAAATGTTGAGAGAGTCTTGTTACAACCTTATGCTTTTTTAAAACGTTATTTATTACTTTCCATGTTGTACACATATCACCACTACATTTATGTAATAATTCGCTATAGTATTCCTTCTTGTGTTTCCTTATAATCCCAACTAATTTGTTTTTGTACTTTTTATATTTAGCCTCAGCCTCTTGAGTTCGTGATCTCAAGAAACATGAATACAGATATTTTTTTTTTTATACATGCATTCCTCAAACCTTTGGTCATCCAAGGATGATCTATTACATTTTTCCTTTTGTAATTTTCTTGTACACAATTTTTTTTTTGTATAATACCTCCAAAATCTTCATAAAGTTATCATAAGATTTATTTACATCATGTACATACACATCATCCCATTTTTGTTTTTCCAGATCAACTTTAAATTTATCTAATGCTTTTTTTGATGTGTTTATTATTTTACTCTTTCTTATAGTAGATTTAATTTCTTCAACAACATTCTTATAAATAATGAAGACAGGTAAGTGATCACTAAGATCAGTCTTGTTGTTTGTTTTTACACAATCTTTCTGATGTGTTTCTTACTGTAAAGTGTCCTTGGGTGTCCTGAAAGACACTTTTTAAATAAAATTATTATTATTATTAGCTGAGGTGGCCACCTTGAACTGGAAATCAGTTATACAGTAAATGTACAGCTCAGACTTTTATTCATTCTATACACAATATGTGCTGTTATTGCATCACTCAACCCTCTGTGAATAGCAAACAACCATCCGGACACTAACTATCAATTGTTAGAATGATGGTCCTCTGTTTTACATGTGAACAGCTAGTTCTGGATGTCACCAGCAAACTGGTTGATCACTATATCATGACAAGGTGCTGTTTATACGAGCTGAGTTTGTTGCAGCTCCTCAGACTGAAGAAGTCTTTTGAATAAAAGATGAAACGTTTCAACAAGAATCTGTCCAGAAGACCTGGCTGAACCTTGTTATATTTACACCAAACTGTCCACATCAGAATGAGATGTAGTGTTTCACCTCATTCAGACGTCACCTTGTTTTGTGGTGGAGTTTGTGTGCCTGAATGATCGTTGAAGCTTTGTTGTTGGGGCAGTCGCTCAAGGCAGATTGGTCCTGGGTGACAGGCTAGATCACGAGCGGTTCATAACACTTGTATGAACAGAACACAGCAAGGAGCTCCACATCCCATGCCTGGACGTAGGTAACCAGGGCCCCACCCTGGAGCCAGGCCTGGGGAAGGAGCTCATCAGTGAGCATCAGGTGACTGGGTCTCCGCCCAAGGTGCTCAACCTGAATTTTTTTCATTCAACCTTTATTTAGACAGGTAAATCTCATTGAGCCTCGAGGACTCATTTACAAGAGAGACCTGATGAATAGTTACATGGGTTCACGTGATTGTGTCAAAGTGCATGTATACAGTTGAGTGTATGGTGCTGAAGCAGAGACCTTGGCACTCTAACCCTGACTTATTGTAGCTGGTCATGGGGTCATGGACTTTCACCTCTCAGGTGGAGAATGTACCTGAGCTTGTGATGGAGGTGGAGATCTAGTCAGGCTCACCTCCACTACTGACATGGACTCTTGAACCACTCTCCTTGAGAGAAGCTGCTCCCTAATCCACTCTGGAGTTGTCCACGGTGAACGGCGCCGAGCTGCTGTGGATCTACTAGTGGAGCTTTTCCACTGTCTCAACTCTCATCGGGTCCACACCAATTAAGGGTCTGCCCACTGCTGATACCCACCCACACTCAGCCCGGTTTACGGGACTGTCTTGTTTGTGGTTCAAAGTGAACTGCTCTGAGGTGACAAGCAAACAGCAGCTGTTGACTGGCCAGCAGAGCTCCATTTCTGGATGACCCGCCCAGCAAAACTGCAAACTACATCTGAACCTCCACTTCCTCATCGAGTTGACGGAAGACGCCATGAGAAATGAACACATTTACTGAGATATTGTAGATGATGGTGCAGCATGGCTACACCTGGCCTTATAAGCAGTGCTGGGATAGAGCGATTAAAGACCACAGACTAGTTACGATCCTGCCCAGAGAGTGGGGAAACAAGTCACAGTGGCAAATCACTTCCATCTGAGATGAACTAAGATGAGAACCGAGTGGAGTTACACTTCTTAATGAAAAAAATGGCTTTATAGCCACTATAATTGGTAATATTATATTTATTATATCTTATTTTACATGCATACATTTTACATGAACATATATTATTGGTATTAATGGATTGGTGCCTGTGCGTCAATTTTCTCAGATGAAAGGGAAACTTCCACAACTTGTGTCGATGCCACAAATGAGAGTTCAACTGCAACTTGGCTCATGTTCCACCTCCACTGTCGAGGCGGCTGCTGCTGTAGCTGCAAGGTTGTTGGTGCCTCTCATGGTGGACACTCCAAATGAGGGAGGCCATCAGCTCCCCTCACCACCCTCTGCCAGGATCTCTGCAGATATGTTTTGGTGCAGACACAGATCACCAGATGCTGGTCTGAACCAGCTCTTTGGTGCCTCTGGTGAGGACAGGTTGGGGGAGATGTGCTCATCTCCGTAATGAATGCTTTCTTTCAGTTTTCATTGACTCTGTCCAATCATGAGATATTTAGCTAACAGAGGGATTAAAACTATACCAGCTTTTAGCCAGCAGAAATCTTTCTCATTTTCTTTAACATTTTAGAGCTTTTATCTGCAGCTCATGATGTTTTTTTTTCTGAGGCTGCTGACCTTGTTTTCTGCACATTGTTTACAGTAAGCCACGGACTCATGACGTCATCTATTTACCTGCGTCACGTCACTCTCCGCTCCAAGGTAAAGCCGCGGAAGGATCACGGACAGCTGGGGTCGCTCTGCGTCTCCGCCCAGGGACCAGACCATCTACAGCACATCAGCACATGCAGGTCAACATATTCAGTTATTCATGCTAATATCCCATAATAAGCAGCGCAGCAAAACAATCAGCTGCAGCATCCAAACGATGCAGAAGCAACACGAAGAAAACGCAGGGTTTTTTCTCTGTGCACGTTTTGAATGTAACTTAATGAATCATCTTACTGTGGAGGAGATCCTTCAGGAAAGTCTTAATGAAATTCCTCGCAGGTTTTGCAGAAATGTCTGCTCAGCTGTCTCCTCTCAAACTGCCCCGCTGCTCAGCTATGCGCTCATCCTCTTTCCAACAACACTGCAGTAAAGGGTGATGTCATCTTCAGCCAATCAGCGCTCAGCCTGCAGGCCTTACAAGTGCGCATGCGCTTTAAAAACGTTCCATGAAGAAAAAAAGCCCCCCCCCCCCCCCATTCTGTCAAGGCTCCATTATACTGCCGCGTACGTCCGTTCACGCGTACGTACGCCTGTACTGTACGCAGAGGGTTCAGACATGATATTCCAGCTTACACCCCGAGCGAGAAAAGCATCCGTAATGTGGGGGGGACACAATGATGTGTGTAGATGTGTGTGCGCGTAAAAAAAAAAAAAGGTGTTCACTAGTGAACAAAAAAGCAACATTTCACCTAGATTTCCTTTAATTCCACACATTTAAAACATGTTTCTCACCAAGTTTGTGTAAATTCAGCTGTGGGTTTAAAGTAATTTTAACTTTAATACACTTTAATACAGAGCATCAGGTCGGCACTATTTGTCTTTATAGAGAAATATAAAACAATAAGGTGTGGGGTTTTAAAACATTTCAACTTTAATGCACCTGAACACACAGCGTCTCTTACAACTGCAGCGTCTTACAGCGTTACAGTTACTGTTAAGCTAAGATGCTACAGACGTAGCGCTCCACTTCTCTCCTCCTAACATGAATATGTTTATGATCAACCCCCCCCCCCCCCCCCCGGTCAACAACTGCCCGCAAAAAGCTAGCTAAACTGGCGAGCGACTAACACAGAGACGTCTCCATTGAGATCTCCACCTGTGCGCGTTTTCTGCCGAAGCAGGAGAGCACAGAAACGCTGCAGGTGTTACACCATATTCTGTGACCACTGTATATTGTGACCATGGCAACAAGCTGCTGTGTTTAGAGTTGGAGGTAACCAGCCCATCTCTTATTAATCAAGTGGAATGGATTTGTTCAGGAAGAAAGAGAAACTGCGCCGCCTGAACTATTGTTTCATGGTAAAAGTGTGTGTGTGTGTGTGTGTGTGTGTGTGGGGGGGGGGGGGGGGTTCCAAATTAACGTTTTTTGGAATGTGGGGGGACTTGTCCCCTTCACATTTATTTATTTATTTATTTATTTATTTATGTATTTATTTATTAATTAATTTATTCATTCATTCATTTAATTTCAGTTAAAACAAGACTTATTCCATACAAATAAAATAAGATACATATAAAATGAAAGGCAGCAGAAGAAGAACGAATTCTTATCATTTCTGCCCCTTCTAAACAATATCAATTCAAAACAATCTATTCAAACAATACATAATACAACCAACCATAAAACTTATCACAATTCATTATAATTCCATACCATTGTCCAGCTTAAATATATTTCATCATCAATACATTCTTAATCTTTTTTTTAAATACAACTAATGAATTCTCCTTTTTGATATCATTATCCAAACCATTCCATAAACTAATTCCCTTGATCGAAGTAGATCTACGCTTAAAACTTGTTCTATATTTCATCTTTACAAAAATATCTGTTCCCTTTAAATTATAACAACTATTCCTTTTAATGAAATACACTTGTATGTTTGATGGTAAATTTTGGTTCTGAGCCTTGTACATAAATAATAGAATATTGTAATCCACCAAATCATGTAACTTAAGAATTTTCAGTTGATAAAACAAAATACTTGAAGGATGGTGAGAACGCTTTTTTGCGATAACTCTTATAACTCTTTTTTGTAAAATAAAAATAGACTTGGTTGCAGTTTTACAAGCTGTACCCCAGATAGCAACACAATAAATCAAATGTGGCACAACAATTGTATTTTACAGTAGACACAATGCTTTATCAGTCAGAAATTCTCATACTTTATGTAGCATTGCTATAGACCTGGAAATTTTAGTTCTTACAAAATTAATATGTTTTTTTCATGTCAATTTATGATCTATAATCACTCCCAGAAATTTTACTTCACTCACTCTTTCTATCACAACACCATCAATTTCAAAAGGAAAATCTATAGATGGCTTTTTTTTTACTGAATATCATATAATTTGTTTTTTCTAGATTAAGTGATAATTTATTTAATTTAAACCAAGTATGAATTTTTACAAACTCAATCATCATTAATTCAAACATCTGATTTAAGTCTTTACCTGAACAAAAGAAAGTAGTATCGTCTGCAAATAAAACACACTTGAGAATACTAGACACCTTAACTAAATCATTTACATACAAAATAAACAGCTTAGGCCCAAGAACTGAACCTTGAGGTACTCCACATAACACATTACACAAACCAGATCTAACCTCATCAATCTGTACAAACCTCATCAATCTGTACAAACTGTTTTCTTCTGTTTAAAATAGCTAGATATCCACTGTATGGCTAGACCTCTAATACCATATTGTTTCAATTTTTCAAGCAAAATAGTGTGATCAATGGTGTCAAAAGCCTTTTTCAAATCAACAAATAGACTTACACAATATTGCTTCTCATCTATCGCTGTAGTAACCTGTTCCATTAAATCCATAAGAGCCAGACATGTTGAATTCTTAGATCTGAAACCGTATTGCTCATTACTCAAAATATTATGTTTATCTATAAATTTGTCCAGCCTGGACGCAAATAACCTTTCAAGAATTTTAGAAAACTGTGGCAACAATGATATAGGTCTATAATTTCTAAACAAACTGTAAGGGTCCCACTGCCTGCAGCCTGCCTTGCTGATGGCCGCTGATTACCAACACCTGGCGGCCATCAGCCTGATGAGCCTCTC